GAAACTACGACCTGACTCGCCGAGTCGCGTGAGCGACTCGTCGAGTCCCTCCATGTCCAAAACTATTCAGTCAATTTCATTCGGCCTTAAAGCATCCAGAACACATATCTAACCTCCTAGTGTCCGTATTACACGTAAAGTCACAAACTTTACGTCCATGCATGGGTCTTCGAGCTCAAAAGACCTAAAAATAAGGCCCACAAGGTGCATGGGACTCCCATGGCCATAAAGTTGGCACCTTTATGCCATGGGAACCCTCAATGGTTCAAGATCTGAAGTTATACCCCCTTACAACCACAAAATCCCGAAAATGGCTCTACTAAAGCTTAGTAAAGGTAGAAACTTCCCCTAACTAGAGATCTAAGAGATAATGGTCAAGGTTGAAGCTTTTTACCTTAAGTAAGCTGGAAATGTGCCAAAACTTCTGGATCTACTTGCCTTCTCTTGATCTCCCAAACCTTCTCTTTCTTCTCAAGCTTCTAACATACACAAAATGGCACAAAGAGCTCAAGAACTCTAAAAAATCGATTAGGGTTTCGTGAGGATGGTCTGAGGGTGCTGGAGGCTGTAAAGGAAGCTAGTTAGGGTGTTTAAGTAGGGTGCAAACCCTTAAAATTAGGGTTTCATCCAGACAGACCTACTCGTAGAGTCGAGGCATCTGACTCGGCGAGTAGGTCCTTCCACCTGTGCCTAAGTTTCACCTCGACCCGACGAGTTGGGGTCTCCAACTCGCCGAGTCCCAGAGTAAAAATGTAAAAATTCATATTTATAATACATACTAGGAATCGGGCGCTACACATTGTCTTTCTTATCTTCCATCATCTCCGACTAGATGTTGTCCTCGTGGTTTTTTTATTAAATACAATCAAAGTAGTTGATTACCAAAAATAAAATAAAAATAAAATCAAAGCACCAACGGGGTTCAATGGTTACAACAAAAAAAATATCAAAGTTACAAACAAAAACAATTGAAGAATTTTGTTTCAACTACCTACACCGTCTACTTGAAATCTTTAAATCACCTTTCATCTGAATTATTTGACACCAACTTCACATCAACCCTACCATTTATTGCAAATCCCTAAAACCATCTCTTATATCCAGCGGTAACAACTATAGTGGTGGGTGTCACAGCAGCACCACTAACCATTAAACCTATGGATTATCTACCACTATCACTCCATTCCACATCTTTTTATTTTTTTAATTTAAAAATACAACTTTAAAGTTAAAAAAAAACATAGAATTTTTTAACTAGTTTTTCATTCAATAGAGAAACATTACAGTTAATATTAAAAACTACATTACTTAAATAACCTACAATTTAAAAGAAAAACATAAAAAAAAAAAAAAAAACTAATCTTCGTTCATGTTAAGTTGGTATAAATGTTATGTGACATCTTCTTGAAGATCAAAACAAGTTTCACTGTTATGAATTTCAATAATTCGTACTAAAAATTCAGTTGTTCCGGGTACGAACTCTTTAATCAGGATGACAACGTTGTTCAGATCATACATACAAATCGCTCAACATTGATCTTCAATGATAATATTATGCATTATAATACATGCACGAACCATTCACTTAGTTATATTTTAATCTCATAGTCATGTAGCGTATTTCACTACATTCCATGTCTGCTTGAGAACTCCAAATACTCTTTCGATATACTTTCTCGTTGATTCCTTCCTTTTTGTGAACAACTTTTCCTTTTCACTTTGAGGAACCGAGTATGCCTTCATTAATGTAGAATAATTATGGTATATCCCATCACAAAGGTAGTAACTATATGCGTACGCGTGCTTGTTCACCATGAACGATATATCCGATGTTTTGTCGGTCCAAATATTGTTGAACAGAAGAGACTAACCAAGAATATTAATGTCGTTGTTGGACCCCGCAACTCTAAAGAAGGAATGCCATATCCACAAACCTTGAGATGTATCTGCTTCTAGTTTTATACTTGGTTCACCTATATCAAATCTAGTGAATTGACCACGCCATGAGTTAGACATTTTTCCCAAGCCACAGGTGTACAATATAGACCACCAAGCATACCTGGAAATCCATGCATCTCTTCATGAGCCAAATATAATCTCTCAATATCATGTGGAGTAGGTTTACGTAAATATTCTTTGTGAAAAACCTCATACACATATGCACAAAACCAATCTACACAATCAATTGCGGTCCTCTCGGATATTTTCTAGTACTCGTCAACTGCATCAAAGTCTATACGGTATCCCAAATACCTAAGCGCAACTGCATATTTTTATATACTACTAAAACTCATTCTTCCTCCAGCATCAGGTTTTTGTTTGAAAAAAAAAATCATAACGGACCTCTAAAGCATTACTAATATGTAAAACTATATAGCCTTATTTAGACGGAAGTGACGTTCGAACGAGTCATCATTGTAAAGACAATTATCGGCAAAGTAATCGCGTACCAATAAGTCGTATGCGCTTAGCGATCTCGATTGACGACCGCTCTTGAACGCGCAACATTAGAAATTTCTTCATCGTGAATATGTTGCACAACATTGAAGAAGGTCGAGATGAATTCTCCATCATCATCTGAATTGAAATTCTTAAAAAAATCCATGTATATTTGTTTTATAGATAGAGAGTGATAGAGAATGGTTTAAGTGTATAGGTTGTTAAAATTGTTGTGTTTCAGTGTTTAATATAAGTAATGATTTTATATTAAAAAAAATATTTACTTCAAAATATGACTGTGGATAAGGGTGTTCATGGGGTGGTTCAGTTCGTATAGTAATAAAATTGTGAAACATAACCACAGGGTGGGTACCTCATGCGCACTAACAGAAACCGAACTGAACCGTATGAAGATGGATAACCACGGTTTGGTTTACGGGTACCCGCTAAAATATAAAAAATCAAATTCAATCGAAACTACAAAGTCTATTCTAGTTATTTATTAATATTAGTAAGTCAAAGAGTTAAACAAAAAAAACATAATGAATTTAAAACTACCAAATTGAAATTGCTTGCTATATGGATTTTTGTTTGGGCTATTAGGTTGACACATTAATGGAAATAACACTCATAAAATAATACTTTTTTTTTTTACTTTATATATATATATATATATATATATATATATATATATATATATATATATATATATATATATATATATATATATATCAAACGGTTCGGTTTCGGTATCCGCAAATGCTTAAATATCAAAACCAAAAAATCAACCTGTTGATATCCGGTTTTCCGATTTCGTTTTTTTTTGTTACATTTTTTTCAGTTTTGGATTGGCCGGTTCGACTTGGTTTTTATGTACAACCCTAAGTGTGGAACGGTCAAGCAATTTCATTTGTCGTTTACGTTCGTCGTCGGCAATATGAAGGAGCCCAATAATGCCCAGCCACGAATGGTCAAGATAGCGTGCACGCTTAATTCTCGTGGCCACACAGACTTCGAGATAGGTATAGGCGGTGGCCATACATCACATTCTTGATCATAAACTTTAATGTTGATTTCAAAATAGAAAAAAAAAAAAAAAAGATTGCTCGTTAGGTTTCAATCTTGACTCGATATTATTATTATTATTATTATTATTATTATTATTACTATTATTATTATTATTTCAAATAATAAAAACCTAATAACTTAAAGAGTTTAAAAATGAAATAAAAATCCAAAACCAAAATAAAAATGAAATAAAAAATTTGAGAGGTTTAAAAATCCAAAATCGAAATAAAAACCTTAAATTCAAATGTAAACTAAAACGAACCTTAAATCTAACCCCAAAAATTTTAAAAACCCTACACCTCATCTTGGGACATGGGTTGTAGGGTGATGTAACCACCAACAAGCTTACACATGAGGATACAATACGGTTTTGAAGATGGACAGACCATCAGTTCTGGAGTTAGAAGGTTGATGTATCTTCAAAGAAAATTAACTGCTGAGTGCTGATGATTGAAATGGAAGATTAGGGAGACGTACTCATCGTTGAGTTCTAGTTAGAGAAGAAGGGACAGAAGACAAGGGTGGAACGATAGGAATAAGATGGAGGTAAAGGTGGTTGTCGTCTGTAGTTCTGTCACTCCTCCTAATGCTTTGTTGGAGTGGAGATGGAGTATTTGTTGGTGATGTTAGTGTATACATATATATTGAATTATAAAAATGCTCCATGATGTTTATTAAAACTTTTAAATTTACGGGTATAATGGTTACTTTAAAAAAACAAATGTTTTAAAGTTAGATATAGCAACGGAAAAACCAACAATGCAACAAAATGAAGGAACAAGACGAAATATGTAACGTTTCTAACAGTTTTCATTAACATTATATCTTTCTTAAATATATAAAAATTTGTCTTTAAGTAGATTAAAAATAATATGCTCATTACAAAAATTAAATTATTCGTCATAACCTTCAAACAAAAAAAGGTTAGTCATCAACATCACAAAAGTATTATGAAATATTTGTCATTGTTGACGTATATTTTAAAATTCAATTATTATTTATTAATCATGATTAAATGTTAATTTTTTAGATATAGATTAAACATAAGAGTAAATTACACATTGTCCTTATGGTTTAGGGTAATTTGCGTGTTTAGTCTCTAACTTATTTTTTAATTTAGAAGGTCCTTACTGTTTATTTTTGTTACGCGTTTGGTCCCAGTCTTTTCTAAAAAAAATATTTTCCCCTTGATTTTTTTAAATCTATTTAAATAAACACTCTCCCAACTCCACCCCTCTAACCTTACATTGCCTACTTCACTATTTTTTCCTATTTAAATAATAATTTTTTTAGGTAAGACAGAGACCAAGAGCGTAATAAAAACAAATAGTAAAGACCAAACACATAACAAAAACAAATAGTAGGAACATTCCAAATTAAAAAATAAGATAAGGATCAAACACGCAAATTACCGCAAACCATAAGGACCATTCGTGTAATTTACTCTAAAATAAAGGCATAAGGTATAAGGGTATATTGGTAAACTGGGACACCAAACGCGTCTGCTGTTTCTTTCTGTTGGTTTTCAAGCTGACGACTTCACTATTTCTAGAGTGCGATTGAATTTCTTTTTCTTTTTTTCTTTTTAAATATCTGTTATTACTTAAAAAGAAAAAGTTCTTTCCAAGAAATATCTCCCCCAAATTTGCAGCGATCACACGTTACTCCATTTTTAATGCAAATTCAGTCCTTTTCAAATGCACCATTTCGTTTCGTTTCATTCCTGAATCGAGTTGGAGCTTTCATATCGATTCCAAACACAACCAAAAAAAACCCTAGAATTCGATACTCTAATTCTGTTTAGAGCCATTCTTGAAGCCATTTCCCCCATTTATCCGGTTATTGACTCGTTAAATTAACATAAATTCTCATATATACATGTCAAGATCGCTATCTAACCCTTGTCACCTCCAATCCATTTGACGTTTTTCTCTTTGTTTTCTTCTACATCATCGTAAGTATTTTTCTTTTTGGGGATTTTGTGGATTGAGCGTTTAAAAGGTACAATCAGAGAAGGGTTTGTATGCGTCGATTAATGGAAACAACAGGTGTTAGCGTTGATCCTACGAGTTCTGATAATCATGCGACTAATAGTCCGAATTCATCAAACCCCACATCACCGACGATGCGGAGGATAAGCAGTAGCAGTTCTTCGCCGAGAGCGATGTCGTCTTCTCCGTTTCCGATAATTCGTTTCTTACAAGCACCTGTAACTACTATAATTGAATACTCGGGTGTTCTTCGACCTAGGTCGAATACCGATTATCACGAATCAGAGAGCTTGATTTCTAACCATCATCATCGTGATCATAACTCGAGTGGTTCCGGTACTGCTAGTAATAGAAGTAGTAATGGTGAGAATAGCAATGGGGAGGTTTCGATTCGGATAATGGGTGGTGCAGACCAAGAAGAGGAGCGTGGTGAACCGGTTGCGGTGAACCGTGAAGATGGCGGAGGAGAAAGGGAGGTGGCTGATTCCGGTGATGGAAGTGGTGGTAATGGTGGGAGTAATAATAACGTGGATTCAGCATATCAACAGCGGTATGATTTGCAGCAGGTTTCAAGGTGGATTGAACAGATTCTTCCATTTTCTTTGCTGTTGTTGATCGTTTTCATTCGTCAGCACTTACAAGGTACAAAAACCAACTTCTGTTATTTTCAAATAAAGTTGTATGATGATGAATACTGACTTATTTACTTCACTTGTATCTAACTCAAATGTAGCCAGATTATGAAAAATCGCTGGTTTTGAACTACATGACTGGTTTCTATTAATTAACATCTTGCATATTCATTTGTAGGTCTATTTGTTACAATTTATATCACTGCTTTCATGTACAAGTCTAATGATATTCTACGGAAGCAGACAGCCTTAAAGGTAATAATATGCTATTCCCCTTCCATCATCTTATTTTGGTGTTTAAAGTTTAAATAAATACATATCTAAAATGATTTAAATTTTTTTGCAGGGGGAGAGAAAATTGTCTGTTCTTGCTGGGTATTGCATAGTTTTCATGCTTCATGTGATTGGAGTTTACTGGTGGTACCAAAATGATGATCTTTGCTATCCCCTTTTCATGGTTCCACCAAAAGAAATACCACCTTTTTGGAATGCTATTTTCACCATCATTGTAAATGGTAAGCACGAACCATATTCTTTTTTATCATAGATATGTATATACATGTAGAGTTCATGGATTAATTGCAAGCAAATAGCTTCATGTGTTCATTTCTTCCTATTACAATTACAACAGTGTACTCTGAAAGAAATATCTACCCAATTTATAGCAATGATTGCCATCCCAAAAAGATTGAGATTTTTATGTGTTGCAGATACGATGGTAAGGCAGGCAGCAATGGGTTTTAAGTTGGTATTGCTTATGTACTATAAGAATGGCAGGGGCCATAGCTTTCGTAGGCAGGTAGGTACATAATATAATAAAACATTAAATTTCAAAAATATTTTTTGACAAGGCTCTGAGGGGGGGGCGTTTTTGGTATTTCAGGGTCAAATGCTGACTCTGGTTGAGTACACACTTCTGTTATACCGCGCATTCTTACCTGCCCCTGTTTGGTACCGATTCTTTTTGAACAAAGAATATGGGAGCCTCTTTTCATCTTTGACAACAGGCTTATATTTAACTTTAAAGCTCACATCAGTTGTTGAGAAGGTATATTTCTAATTTCTGATTTTTTTTTATGAGGTCATTCATGTCTTTTGTGCAAGTCCCTGTCCCATCTTGTTCCACCTTTTTGGGTAGGACACAAAATTGGAGTTTTTCTCTCAATTCAATGCATGTCAATCACAGTACAGAGTCGTCTGTTTTGTCCTGTCTTGTCTAGTGAATTAATTTTTTTTTTTTTTTTATTTTCTTCAGATTGGATCCTTCTACGCTGCATTAAAGGCACTATCGCGGAAGGAAGTCAATTATGGATCATATGCAACGGCAGAACAGGTATAATGAGGGAGTTTTTTTTTTTTCTTCTGTAATTATTTATTATTGAAACACTGTTTAAGCTAACATTGATAGTGATATGATATGCTGTAGCATTTTTGCTTTTAACTGGTTTTTACTGGAGCAGGTAAGCGAAGCAGGAGACCTGTGTGCTATTTGTCAGGAAAAGATGCAGGCCCCAATTTTGTTGCGCTGTAAACATATATTTTGTGAAGACTGTGTCTCCGAATGGTAATTTTTTTTTTTTTTTAAAGTATTATATTTGAAGTTGTATGAATGGTTGACTTATTGACCACTTCATGATCATGATCATGATCATCAGGTTTGAAAGAGAAAGAACTTGCCCGTTATGCAGAGCTTTGGTGAGACCTGCAGATATACAATCATTTGGGGATGGTTCAACGAGCTTGTTCTTCCAGTTTTTCTAGAAGACCTTCCGTATTCATGTTTGGCACTCTCTTCTTCAACATAAGCAGTAATTTTTTGGCATTTCCCCCTCAAATTGTACAGTTGTGCCTATTATTATTATTATTATATTATCATACATCACATATACATACACAGCATATAACAAAATGGGAGAGGATCTTTACACTCAACACACATAACTAAACACTTTGGATCCCATATAATAAACACAGCTTCAAACAAACTTCTTACTTTGACATTTTTACTCATAAAATGTGGTGATGGGGAATTCATGTGAAAAAGGCTACACATCACTCGTAATCAAATCGACTCAAATAACTCTTTGGATGGTTTCCTAAAGCTGTAGAAGATGTTTGAAATCAAGAGCCCAATCGTGCGCAGAAAGTAAATCACAAAATCCATGTAGGTTTGTTTCTTATTATAGATTGTATAAAGAGACCAAATCCTATATAATAATGGTTGGTATTCATAGATATTAAATACAAATTTCCTCCAAAATGGATAAGCATCTACATAATAATGGGTAGATGGTAGTTAAAAATAGTTATTGGCGACTTGGCGCAACATCTATGACGGAATACACAAAAACTTAGAAGGTGTTTGGGATTGTTTATTTAAACTCTTTATTAATTTATTGCGGTTTAGTACTCGTAATAAAGAGCTGTAAGTCTTAAAATAAAAAGATTTCATAATCATTTATTGATTTAAATAATGAGTTTTTGATAACTTATTTACTAATTATTTACTGACTTATTTAATAAGTTTTTGATAAGTTATTTTTTAATACTACACATAATAAAAAATTAATATCACACATAATAAAAAAATTAACTTATTAGTTTATTATGTTTTGCTACTGAATAAGCTAAACCAAACATTTAAAAAAACTCTATTTAAACATCAAATAACATAATATTACTTTCAACATAAGTTGTTTTAAATAAGTAATCCCAAACACTTCTTAATAAGTTAGGGATACTTGACATGATCTCAATTTTTAAAGGGATAATTTCATATGTGTTACTTTTAAACTTCAAAATACTATATTTGTCCAACTTAACTTCTTAATATTATATTTACCCTTCATAAATCTTCAAAATATTATATTTATACAAATTCTTTTTTATAATGTTTTTAATATTTTATAATCATTTTTCACACCTTAGAATTATTATAATAATTAAAAATTTTAACCATAGTATCCTTACGTGTATGATAATAAAATGTGAACCTCTAAATTGTTGGAATGTTACTCTCTTCACAAGCAAAACCTTATTTTGATTATTTAGTTTTTGTTGTTGTTGATTATTATCATGCTGTAGATTGAGGATATTTTAGATATTACTATTGCTATTTTGATATTTAAAAGTACATACACAGTATTTTGATATTTAAGAAGGGTATATATGATATTTTGATGTTTAAAAAGGACATATATGATATTTTGAAATTTTATGAAGGGTAAATATGATATTTAGAAATTTTATAAAAGATAAATTTGATATTTAGAAATTAAGTTGAGTAAATATGATATTTTGATATTTAAGAATAACATATATGAAATTCTCCCAAATGTATAAATTACTGGATTTAAAATCTGTAAATTTTAAAAGGTTGGAGAGGGTAGTTAGATGGAAAGTTGCGATTTTTAGACCTAAAAAGTAGAAAAAAAGAGATATCTTAAAATGTAATCTAATTATCTGTTGTGTGTATGTAGTTTGATTGTGGATCAATCATTTTAGTTATTTATAAAAAAAAATGATTAATAAATATTATTGAATTAAAGATAATTGAAAAATACCATCTAATTTTATTGTAAGGGTATTTTAGTCAATTAAGCTAGATTTAAAAAAGAAAAATTATATATTTTAAGGGATCATATATTCTATTAATTTTAAAATCTGATTTTGTGGATAACAAAATTTATTATGAGTGTATTTTAAAAATAATAATATTCTTGAACTATAAAATAATAAATATTATGACAAAATATATATTTTGATTGAAAGGAATTTTTGAATAATAAAACTATTAGATACAAGTTAAAAAAAATTTATCACATTTTTAAAAAATAAAAAAACCTTATATACTATTCTATAATAATAGAACACTCTCTAAAAAAATAATATATTATAGAATATTCTAATAGAATATACTATTACATATATATTATTGTTCTGTTGTCAGTTATTCTGTCATAATAAAACGATGAATAGTGCATTCTTTTTGGAAGATCGATGTCCATTATTCATCTCTATCCCACACACCATCATCCAAACTTGAGGCCCTTGATCATCATATTCATTCACACATTCTGTGAGAATAATTGCAAATTGAGTTATATAGAATAAAATTATGTGAGAATGATTTAATATGACAAGTAATAAAACAACCTGTAGTAATTTTGTGTAACGTCCCATTTTCACAACCAATTATTTATTTATTTATTTTTATTTTTTTAAGTAAAGCTTTTCAATTATAAATCCATTATGAAGAAAAGCGTTTATTCCAAATACATTTATTGAAAATCAGAGTAATATTAAAGCATGAAATCTTCATTGTTACTGATGAATATGTACAATCATGTCTTCACATTCTCATGATGATTGATGATACCTGAAACAATAAACAACTAGGTAACACAAAGCTTAGTGAATTTCCCCTAAAATACCACGTACAATAAACATACAAGTGTGTATAGTGACCTACAATCATCAGATTGGAATACCCAGGGTTTGTTGTCCTACCGCCTCAACCCAACCGCTCTCCCTGATGAATGCTAGTTGAGCGGTCCGGATAGACTGAAGGTTAGAGAACGGTCCAGTCAGGCTGAAGGCTCGGAGAACGGTCCAGTTAGGCTGAAGGCCCTGGAGGGCGGTCCAGACTTGCTGAAAGTTCTGAGAGTGGTTCAGATAGACTGAAGGCATGGTAAGGTGGTCCAGTCATGCTGAAGACTCTACATGTGTTGATAGATCGGTATGAGGGAATGGAATGAGTATGTCGTGATGTGATAGCATCAGAAGGTATGGCCCCGGATATGGATCGCGATTTAGTGGAGGTAGTGCATGGACTCGAGAGTCCCTGCGAGTGGATTCAGAGTATGTGTGGTGCATAGGATAGCGGTGATGCCATAAGGAAATGGTGTAGCTCCGAGAGGGAATGTAAGTCACGGAAGTGAAATCAGTAGTGCGAATGTAACAGCCTGGAATTTCCACGTATTTATTATTAGTGTATTTTTGGAAGATTGTGAGTGGACTCGGCGAGTTGGAGCTCAAACTCGCCGAGTAGGATCGCGATTTTGGACGCGGGTTCGCGTCTGGACTCGGCGAGTCCACGCTGTGTAATGAAACCCTAATTCCCAGGGTTTGAGACCAATTTAAAAAGGGCTTATGGCCGTCATTTGCGGCCACCAACCCCTAGAGAGAAACCCTAAAGAGATTTGAGCGTTTTGGGAGAGAAAAGAGGCCATTATTGACCTTTGAAGCTTGGTTTGGCAAGGCAAAGGAGATTCTAGCTAAGAGAAGGCAGGGGAAGTGGACATTCTTCGATTTTGGAGCTCAGAGCATCATCTTGGAGGTATATCTTGGCTTCCTTTCCTCGGTTTTTATGATGAAAATGGGGGTTTAGGGTTTCTTGACCCCTTTGTTGGCTAGATTTGATGTCCATTTCGTCCCTAATCATGATAAGGCTTGAGATGAGATCCATAGAGGTCCAGAAGAGTTGTATTCCTTAAGCTTTATGAGTGTTCATGAGAGTATTGGCCTAGAGTTATGAGATATGGGGCTAAAACATCATTTATGAGCAAATAGTTGTTGTTTGAGCCCCAAGGTTTGGACTTTACGTGATTATCATGCTTGGGGAGGCCAGATCTATGAATGTATGGAACAGATCTGACCTCAGGAGTGAGTTTGAGTTGTTGCATGGCATGGACTCGCCGAGTCCGAAGAACAGACTCGGCGAGTAGCATGAAGATTGCCCAGCACCACTCAGCGAGTGGTCTTGCCGAGTTAAGGGATTGACTCAGTGAGTCAGGGAGAGTCAGAGTGGGTTGACAAGTGGACTGAGTCAAGCTGGGACTCACCGAGTTGTTCTTGAGACTCGGCGAGTTGAGTCGTGGAGGCCCCACAACTCATGCCAGGTGGAACTCGTCGAGCTAGGAGAATACTCGTCGTGTCAAGTGAGGATCCCAGGGAAATCAGTGTATGCACATAGACTCGCCGAGTCGCTATAGTGCACTCGCCGAGTCCGGTCAAAGTTGACCGTTGACCATTGACCAGTGTTGACCTATGTTGACTTGTTAAGGGATAGTCAACCTTAGTTGTGAAGTGTTATTTAGAGATGTATTGTGTTATAGGAGGACTATAGATCGGGAAATCGAGCACGAGTGATTTCAGGGACTTGCGAGTTACCGAGATACGCGAGGTGAGTCTTCTCACTATACTTTACCTTGAGTAGGTAACTAGAGTTATGTGATACAGTGCTTGTATGTTATATTTGTGTTATGTGTTGCGTTGCATTATTCTTTGTGATTTATGCTTTGCATGTTTACAGAGTTAGAACCTGACGGTTCATAGAGTTTGGGTGCACGGACCCACAAAGTTATAGCCTCGAGTGGCTAATATGTGTTATATGTGGTATTTTGGGGAACTCACTAAGCTTTGTGTTTACAGTGTTTGGTGTTATTTGTTTCAGGTACTAGTGACGACCGTGGGAAGGCGTCGGCTTGATCACTACACACGCATGGGATTTTATGATTTTGAGATCTTGGGATTTTTGTATTACTTTGATTGAGTTTCAAACATGGTTGTTTTATGAATATTAAGTGAATTATGTTTTATAAAATTTGAAAATTTTGTTTTGAAATTTACAGCGTTACAGCGAAGTTGTGATTGGAGTGTTCCAGTTATGGTCATTGGGCAGCGGTTTGCGACAGTAGTATGGAATCACATCCGGTTTGGATGTCTGCCGAGGTCACGGAAGAAATTTCGAGGGTGTAAAGTCAAGAGGCTCGGAAGGGATGCAGGGATGGAGTCTTGGATTCCCAGCTTGATTTTGATCAAAGATTTGTGCATTTGGTGGTAATTCATCCTGGGGGATGTTTGGAGGTGTCGTCAGTGCATCGGGTTTTCCCAACCCGAGGATGTTAGAACCAGTCCGGCAAGGGTATGAGATTTCGGAGGAGAACTCATGGGAGTTGCTCTGAGACTGAAGGATGTGTCCTTCTGTCAACCTGGAGTCGATGAAGTTGGACTCAGATCGGGATTCTGATGGTTCAGGGTATTTATAGCTCGTATGAGCCAAGTGATTGTTGTGTTGGAGCGAGGGAAGTATCATGGAGTGGTAATCGGTTGATAAGTGTGGTTATCAAAGGATGAGGCCGGTGGCTGGCTTCAAGCGGTGGTTAGGACGCTGCAAGAGGGAAAGTTGGGTTTTGGGTTTCGATGGTTGTGCTTTGAGGAATCTGGTCTGGTTAATGCCAGGAGGTGCATTGCGAGAGTAGTTATGGAGTTGTGTTGCCGCAGGCTTCGAGGACGAAGCCTAATTTAAGTGGGGGAGAATTGTAACATCCCGAGTTCAGGAGTGCAAGTTCAGGGTTCAAAGTGTAAATATGATAGGGCAACTCGGCGAGTCCATGGGTGGACTCGACGAGTAGGCCCGCGA